GTGGAAAACAAGACCCATGTTCTGGAAAACAGCTGAAGGGTTTTGGTTTTGGTTCTGTTTTCCTCCTGAAAGCAGGTGAAAACCACAGGGAAGAGGCTCACTCTGAACACTTCAGACCTGTGAATTTTTTTCCTAGCAGTGCCAGTTTATTTATTGTATGAAATGCTTTGGGAGATACTAAATATTTGATTCAGATGAGTTAAAGAAACTGTTTCTATTTGATGCACTTAATTTGCATTAATCTTAAAAGTAGTAATTGGAAATACCCTCATAAACCCTGAGACTGGAGCCCTAGAATTAAAAAGCATTTGTTATTACCCAGGAATGTAGCTGTGCAGTTTTATTGGCCTTTCTTCTACTGTAATCTATGGATCTCATTTAGCTGCATGCAGCCCTGTTCTTCTGAAACATAAAAGGAAGGAAATCTCTCAATAGCCTGAAATCAAATTATCTCTCTGTGTTAATCTACATGTAAGACATCCAAGCCCACTTCTTTAAAGGAAAATAGTTTTACTGATAAGCAGAGCTAGACTGTATTCTTTGAATACTAGAATTAAGTGGATTTTTTTTGTCTGCAGAGTGCTATTTATAGCATCAATTAACTCCTCATGGTTGGGATAAGTCATTTGACACATCTGTTGCTGAGCTTAAACACTCACTGTTCTGTGGGGCCACAGTTGGATTTTTTTCCTCTCAAAATGTGTAATGAAAGGACAATTTTCTGCCCGATGGCTCTTGGGTTGAATATGCTGCCCAGACAGGCTGCCTGATGCCTTTGGGGGCATTTGCAATGGGTGGAGCTGTTGGGCTGCCTGACTGCAGAGCTGGCCTCAGCTTTGTTGCTTGCCTTTTTGTTATTTATCTGCTTGATGATAGCACAATCGTATCTTTTATGAAAGAGTTACCCTGAGCTTCTGCAGGATTTTCCAGCATCGCTGTAATGTTTCAGTTACTCTGTTTCACCTGTGACAAACTGGCCTGGCTTTGGGAGCTGCTGCCGGCCCCACTGACTCCTGTTCCTGTATTTTGATTTAATGCTCCTAAATACAGGGCTGTGCTCTGCTGTGGTTCCCCACACAGAGCCAGTTTCAGTCACATTCCTGGCAGTAGCCTTTCTCTTAAAATGGAAGCCCTTTTGCCAGAACTCCAAACCCCTGAGAGACAAGAAAAATAAAGTTTCTTGTATATTGTTAAGTGAAATCTTGTAACTGTTCTGTGGAAGTAACTGCGTGAGGCTATAACAGTGCCTTTATGTGTTTGGCTTATTTGCAGCCAGATTGGATTGGATATTAATGAAGCCAAGCTTTAAAATACATGGGAAAGAAGGACAGACTGGAGTTAGGAACTGTGCTGCTTTTGATCTTTATCCTTTTCTCTTTCTCATTGAAATAGCCCTGTTCTGAGAAGAGATGTATTGATTTTGGGTGGCTCTGCTTGCAAGGAAGGCTATGGAGTAAGGAAGTAATTTCTGTTGAAAATGTTACAGGCTCCATGGTTAATTGAAGGCCTGATTCTATTTAACAGTCACACAGGCTGTTGGAGGGGTTTTCCTTTGCTGCTGGGAAGACATTATTGCAGTGAAATAGTTGTGAAATAGATTGTCTGTTGTTTCTGCTCCGAGTGATCACTGGCTGAAGGTTCTGCTGATGTGGGTTAGGATCAGACTGGGGTCAGAGGAAGTGGGGACATGGAGCTGCTGCTGAAGGCAGCTGTGAGAATACTTGGAAGCCTGGATATCCACAACTCAGAAAGGGACCACAAAGTGCAATCCATTTTTAAGCAGAGCTGCTTATTGATTTCAGTGGGGGAGACCTTTGAAAAATCAATGGCACGCAGCAGCTTTAGTATGCAAGGACATGTGTTTTGGGCTGGTAAAGTGATCGGCCTGTGAACTAATCAGCCTGATAGCAATCATGTCTGGCAAGTTCCAAGGCAGAAGGAAAGGTGTCAGAGCCTTGAGATGCAGCAAATTTGCTATTCATATTCCAAGAGAGATTGCAAAGTATCATCTTGTTCATTCTAGCTTTGACTTTCAAATTGCATTTTATTTCTATAGAAAACCAAAAGCTACAAAGGGAAATATAAAAAGTTTTTGGCAATATGTAAACATGGACCTGATTATTATGAGGTGTAGTGTTAAACAAATAGGATTGCTGAAGTAATCAAAATATTCTGATTTTTTCCACGAGAAACCATCTCTGCCTTGTTCAGTCTTTCAGTATTTATAAGATTATTACAAAAACTATTCCACCTGGACACTCGTTTGGAAATATTTGGGGAGTGTTTGTTTACACAGGGAATTTACAGTGCACAGTGTGAATTTATAGACCATCACATACCCCATTAAACCTTAGTGTGGACACTTAGGAGGTGTGAAGTAATATGCTGCCATTTTGCTGTGCTGCTTTATGCTTAATTAACACAAACACTGATCTCTGAAGAAGTGTGGGATAATGAGTGCTGGGGTGGAGGAGTTCAGCTTATTCAGTGTAGACAAGTCCTTAGGTCCAGAGAGCAAGAGCTCTGCTTCAGAAAAGTGTTCTTTGCTCTTCTGGTCTATAAATGACAAATTTTAGAAAGAAATTGATTTTTTTTTACATCGGGTAAAAGTAACCATAGGCTAAAGCATTTACTTAAAAAATTGCCCTTGTAAAAATATTTCCGTTTCAATTTTAGAGCATTAAACTGAATTATTTATGCTATTATATATATGCAATTGTGAGAAGATGTTCTGTATTTCCATAACTTTTTTTCTTTTCCATTTGGAAGAATATAGCAGTTGAAATTTACCTTACTGGGGAAAGAGTGTAATTAAATCTATGTAGGCACACTGTATCAGCAAGCCCTGAAAACACTGCATGAAATTTTGGAATGAAGACCTGAAAAACTCTGGTAGCAACGTGCTGAAGTGAGGAATCTTTATCAAAGGGAAGCTGTAGAAGAAGACTGGTCATCATTTAAACATGTAGTGATTAATATATAGAGATTGAATTAGATATAAGAAAATTTTGTGGGTTTTTTTTTTTTGGGAGAACTGTATCTTTCTGAGGTACTACAGTGTCATTTCAGTGCTTTTAACTAAAAGGCTAATTAAATTATTCCTTTTTAAATGGACTGGGAACCATTTTGGTAAGATTGGAGATCCTGTGGTGCTATTGACCAGAGCCAGTTCTGTAGTGAGTTAAGTCTTAAAACTGTATTGCCTTTACAAGCATATGTTTGGATGCTTTTGTTGATGTTGCTTAAGCCAGTTCATAGTATGATAATCTGTAAATTTATTTGCCAGATTTTTTTATTTATTTATGTATACAGAAATATTCCTGCTGGATGATCAGATGGAATTTCTTAGCAATGTAAAAGCTCAAATATTTCACGTTGACATTTTTTTCTGGAGTAATGGAAGTGGGGAGCTGCAGCATCCATTGCAGTGTCCTTAAGATGCAGAATTCCTTCTCAAGGAGTTCTCCTGTTACTATTTCCACTGCCCTCGCTCATTCCCTGGTTTAAACCTTGTTTCACAGACTGCCTCTGTCCAAAGGAACACAAAACCCTGACCAGCTTTTTTGTTGTTCCTTTTGACAGCAGCACAGCGTGTCTGTCTGTGCCTACCAGAGAACTATATTGAAATAGCTTTCTTTGTGAACTCCTCATTGCTATTCATTGGTGGAGGTTGTCACGTAAGGGTCAAATTAGAGCTCAGTCAACCACAGCAGCGAGGGGACCCAGGCTCAAGACAGATTTCAGCATAAGGTCTGAGAAGGAGTTTATCAGGAATGTGTTACATGTATTTTATTTATATATATATATATCTCCAAAGTGTTATTCTTTTCTCTCTAGAAACTCAGTTATGTTTAATTTACTCTCTCTGGTCATTTACTTGAGAATTAGTCTTTCTTTCACTCTGCCTCCTGACTTTCATCTTTGGGCATATCTATGCACAGTTTTGTTACAGCTATTTAATTTTTGAGCATAGAATTTTCTTCTGTTAGTTTAAGAAAAAATAGGATTTCTGGCATGATGGTTCTGTGCCCTTTGAGGTTGGATCCATGCAAAGAAAGGATCATATTTCTGGTAATTTGGCTGAAACACAAGAAATTGTGTTTATGCTGGCTTCAGGAAGGCAGACTATACCTGGTCAAGCAAAAAAATCTGCCAGGGCAACATTCCTCTCTGAAAATGTTCTAAAACATTTGAACCAGCAGAGTGAGCTTGTACTGGCTCTTCATTTTGTGCCATGTGGTTGCAGTATTTTTGATGTGGTAGCTTAAGACTGGCAGTGCTGCCTCACAGAACCATGTCTTCACCAAATGGGTTCTGTTCATTCTCCAGCAAAAACAGGGACTAAATTGGCAGCTGCTGACCCAGGGAAGTTTCAGTGATAGATGTTTTAAGACTAAATAAATCAGGGATTTACTGAGCTACACAGATGACCTGATATTCCAAAAGCTTCTTTTGCTTTGGTTTCATACAGGATCAGGAAGGGTCACATACAGACAGAGAGAACAAGCTATTGTGCATCTTTTAGAAATTAATGTCCCATCCCTAACAGAGATCTGTGAAAGGATCTTGAGCCATTTGGGGCTTGTATATCTGACAGGGGCCTAAAGTTGTGTGCCCAAATAACAGCTCTCATTTCTGAGAGCATCCTGTTAGGTCTCTGTGTTTTAAATTGCCTGGCTACAATATCCAGCTTTGCAATATTCCATTATCCTCCTTCCAGTCTAGAGTTTTCCCTGATTTAGGACATTAACTGTCAATCTCATAGGAACATGCAAGTATTGATCACTGACAGCAAATTAGATTAATCAGGGTGGGGTTTTTTTTCCTTAGGAGTCTCAGGATTGGCTTCTCTGAATATTATTTCTTTTACTGCAAGTTAGGAGAAAAATAGTGCAATAAATAATTTCTACAACACAGTGAGAACGTGGGAGCTGACTATGTGTAAAGGGGGCTGTAATACCTTATTAACTAACTCTGTCTCTCTTTCCTCTCTCTTGTAGCTGATTCTTCTTGAGGCTGCTCTCCTGCTTTGTCTGTCCTGTTCTGTTCTTAGTGGGTGATGTCCCAGCAGCTCTAACCCTCAGACTTCAGTACCTCTCTAGGTGTGTATGGCTCAGTTTTCTCTGCATGCTTTCTGGTGTCGCATGGGGGGCAACACTCATGTTATGCTGTTCATCTCTCGTGGCACTTGAGGCTGAGAATGTCATTAGCATGTGTTATGCTTCAGTTCCATGGATTGTTTAAGCCCCATTTTTGCTTTTATTCTGCTGGTTTTCTTCCCTGGAGAAGCACAAAGCTGCTGTTTCCATGCACACTCACAGGCCTTCGTGCTTGCTCCTACAGCTGAGCAGCTCTGTGAACGAGCTTCTTGATACTCATGGAAACATCTCTTGCCAGCAGGACTGACACACTTGGACTGGTCTTGGATAGAGCAGTAGTGGGACAGCTGAGTTCAGCATCCAGATGAGAGAGATGCCTGTGAGCCTCTTCCCCTGCAGCTGAGAGCAGCCTGTGCTGTGTTGTGCCGCTGGCAGAGGACACTGTGCTCTCCAAAGGCAGCTCACTCACAGACCCCATCTCCTTAGGAACTCACAGCACTTTGAAGTGCAGGGGGATTTGAGGTTCCCCATGACTGTTAGGTTCAGGTCCCCAAATCTCACAGAACTTGACCCCTCTTAATCTGAAGGGCTCTTCAAAAACTCTTGACTGTCAGTTATATCCTATAATAGCAAAATTAGCATGCAGAGTTGACTCATGTTTTTTGTGGAGCACCAATGACCCTTGGAGTCTCGGCAGTGTTTCCAAGAGCCTCAGACTTGGGTGTGAGCTGGGGTATTAGCAATGAGCAGGATCCCTCTTTTGGCCCTTACACTGGGGTGATTTTCATCCTGGGTGAGCACTGAGGTTGTACTGACTTTCAGAAGGGGCCTTTTGATGCCTTAGTGGAACAGTCAGAATAAACACCTCCTCTGATGCATTAGTGGAGCAGTCAGAATAAACACCTCCTCTGATGCATTAGTGGAACAGTCAGAATAAACACCTCTTCTGATGCATTAGTGGAGCAGTCAGAATAAACACCTCCTCTTTGCTCTAACTCCAGTGCAGCACTAATGTATTTAGAGTCACGTAGGCAGGACAGAGAGATTTGCTGCTGTCAGCGTAGCCTTTGATACTCTGTAGGCAACTGTTTGCTGTGTTTAGAAGTGCAGCCTAAGGAATAATTTTTACCTGGCTGCTCTGGGTCTAATATTTTCATTTATTGATACCCTTTTCAATGCACTTTAATTTATTTACGAATGGTAGCAAATTGCAAGTGGCAACCTGAGTAACTGACTCCTGAGTCAGTACTTTTATTTTTCTCCTCCAGTCTAGACTGCTGATAATGTAAATTGTTGAAACCCTGGGTTAATAATTAGGGGTGCAATCAACAGCAAGCAAGTATTTATCTGCTAATAAAACATTTGAAATGCAGAAGTCTGTCTTTGTCCAACAATACTTAAAAGGCAGTTATTGGTCCTACTGCTGTTTCTGCATAGCAATTAGGAATTTTGTGGTCACTAATTGTGCATCTGAAAATTTATACAGTTTATTTTCTGCCTGTGTTTTTCTTTGCAAAGAGAAAAGAAGCATAGTATTTATGGTTATAATGAGGTTAACACAATACTTCCTGCAGGGAGATCTCTCTAAAGATTTGTACCATTTATAGAACCCAAATTTTCTAGGTTTTCTCATGTGTGGCATCAAGGGCTTATATCTCATTAAGGATTTTCTGAACAGGATCTTAGTCACATTATCAAAATGTGACTTGAAAGTTATATACCAGCTCAGTCATCAACTTGATTTTTATTATTAAAGCTGTAACTGCTTCTGAAGAGGGACTTCTTGATTTTTCTTGCATTGTTGCTAATTCTTTTCCTTAGAACAGAAACTTGCATTATATGTTCTACAAGAAACCTGTTTTAAATTTAGTTACTGTCGATACCGTCTTGTCATCTTCTTTCCCCTACTGGATTTACTTTTTGAAATCAGTCCACAGACATACCCAGCCTGTGGGACCCCCAAAAGATGACTTTTGTGTCATATCATGATTGCATGTGAGAAAGAGCAGTTTTAGCTGCAGACAGTTCCTGAAAGCTGGGTCCCTGTGAGGAGCTGAATTCCTGCTCTGCAGCACCTCAAAGGAGACTGTCTGCATTTGTTAATCCTGACTGATCCAGACTCTTCTTGAGCCTGGAATATCCTCTGTGAGGTGTATTTGGTCTGTGGCAGCCAGGCTGTTGGTCTGCTCTAGCATGAGGGCAGTGATGATCAGTAACCCAGGGGTTGTCTTTAGGAATGTATGGCTAGAAATGCCACCCCCACCCCCAGGGATATTTCTTCCAAAATCTGACTTGTGCCCAGGTCTTTGCAGTCCCACTCTTTCACGCTCCAGGGAGTCTGTGAGCATGCCTGCAATTCCTGGGAGTAGTGACAACAAACAGAGCTGTCTCCATCTGTGGAAAAGCAGGGAGGCACAAAAGCAGAAATGTGGAACTTGGCTGCACACAAGCCAGCTGAGGTCCAGAAAGTCTGGCTGTGTTCATGTCTAGCTGTGCCAGGGCTAAATCATGCTGAGATAGAGCAGGTGAGTCTTCCTGTGACTTCCCATGAATCATCCTATCCTTTTAGAGGGTTGTGATTCCCCTTTGCAGAAACCAATGTACTCTCTGAAGGTTTTATAGTCTTTTAATAATCTATTGGAAGGTCTCGGAAGTTGGCAGTTTGATCTGTGTTTTATTAGTCTGTGACATCTGGAAAACCCTTTGGTGGTTTTTGGTTTTCTTTCAGAATTTCAATAGAAGTTAAATCAATGCATAAATGACAAAACTCACTTCTGCCTACTGGTCTGCAAACATGAAAGGCTCAAGTGATGGTTATAAGTAAACATCATGAGATTAATACATGATAATCCTTACACTGTTCCTAACATGATTTTATATTACTCTGATTCCTTTCAACAGCAACTGTCTTAAGAGTTAACAATGAACACAGAGCTACTGGCAGGTTATTCCCCGTGAAATCGGGGTGCATGTCATTGGATTTGGGTCTGTCACTCCTGCCCCAGTGTCTTTTTGGCCTGTTGGGTGATTTCAGCCATATTTGACAAAAGCAAGGAGACCTTGAGCCTGCTTAGGAGTCCCCAACAAACTGTGTAAAAACATGCAGCTTAATCACTACTAATACTCCTCTCTGGGACATAACAGTGTTATGACCACATTATTATGAGCTACCAAAGGATCTGCACAGGAGAGAGTCCTGATAAATGTAAGAGTCATGGGAAATGGATCAGTCAAGAGTGTGCATCATCTAAAGGCACTGAATGATGAATTGGGAAGCATCAGGAAGCAGGGAACTATCTGTGCTCATGGAAATCCTCGCTGATAGATGGAAAACAAAGAATCTTTGGCAGCAAATCAAGGGACAATTTCTCAGCACTTAAGTCTCAGCACAGAACATGAACAGTTCTTGAATTACAGGAGCCTGAGACAGTTCTGCCTCTGCTTGTCTCAGAGGTGCTTTAAGTAGTTTGGTAGCAAAGGAGTTACTTGTTTAACTTTGATGAAGGATTCTGTTGAGGCCATAATTTATGTTTATATTATATTGCTGATTTCATACTCCTAGTAAAACGTTTTAAGTGGTGTTCAGGTCACAGATCTGTGGAATCAATGGGGAGTTTTACTGCATGTACCATACAGGTGAAGACAGGGTTTTAAATGGGTTGTTTCATTACCCTGCTAGAGAAGACATAAGGCAGAAGTTCTAACCCACCTAGCTGATTTCTGAGTTCCTTTTTCTGCATTGAAAGACAAGCAGTCCTGTGTGTTTTCCATGGAAGATGTTTGCTTTTTCATTTGCATTATTAGCAAACGGCTGCATGAAGGAGTGTTTCGTTGACTGAAATCATCAAGCATTTCAACTGCAATTGCACACTCTGCATTTAAAAATCTTTTCCATGTTACAGTGTGCTGCTATAATTTAAATATGAAAGCTAATTTCAGCTACTGTCTGTTAAGGTTGGGGGGGGGGGTGTGGAAAAAATAGACACAACTGTTTTCTTCTACCATGAAGTTTCTGTCCTTAAAAATGTTAAACTTCTCACTTATGCTGTTAAAGACAAAAATTCCAGGTGTCTGTAGTGAGAATGTTCCTCATTCCCTCTACAGCCATATCTTTTTTTATGTATTTCTTTTAAGTACATTATTATTTGCACAGTGAAATTAGCTCTGCAAGAGGGATGAAAACCCTTGTCAGAGCAGTTTTAGCAAAACGATCAAAGGAATTAAATACAAATTCTCTCAAAGGTGAGCTTTTTTTTTTCTTTTTTGAACAGGGAAGTCTTAGATTAATTGCTTTTAATTTAAAATCAGATCAATGGATGGAAAGATGGATGCTTTTCAAAGAGCACTGCAGTTTGCTGCTTAGAGTGGTCAGTATTTTAGCAAGGTGACTAACGATATGCATTTTTATCTTTAACCTCTGACCCGTGCCCTCCCCACCCTTTACCTAACCCTTTCCATTTGCCCTGGTCAGTTAACAGGCAGGAAGCATTTGAAAGCAGTCATGGATGACTATGATATCAGGTCTGCTGCCAGCATTTTGGCATCTGTTAAAGAGCAAGAAGCTCGTTTCGAGCGGCTCACCCGCGCACTTGAGGAGGAGCGGCGCAATGTCTCCCTGCAACTCGAGCGTGCCAATCAGCCCGCAGACCGCATGAGCATCTGCAACATTGGCAATGGCCAGCCCCTGGCAACCGCCTGGCAGCAGCTCGTACTGCAGGTAAAGCCTGCTCCTGTCACTGTCACTGGAGCCCACCCTAGCACAGTGTCCATCCCAGGCAGTCGGTGCATGGTGTGTTGTTAGCATTTCATTAGTGTGTGCTGTGTCTGGTAGCCCGAGCTGGGGTGCAGCGTGGGTGCTTCATCACCTCGGCTGGGAGCCTTGCCTTGGAAGCTGCTCTTGCTCTTAGCTCGTGGGATACTTTTAAAAGTATGTGCATACTTGGGTAAAAAGCCTAAGAAGGGATCTTCACACCCTCCTCTAATCTATGCACTTGCTCTAAGTCTGGTGATGTGCTGGTGATTGTAAAAGAAGGCTGAATCATAATCTCCATAGCAAACAAAATTTCCATTAGAAATAGCTGGACTTTGAATAGAGGGAGCAGCATGAAAAGCAGGGATTTCCCTCCTGCAAAGCCTTATTGTTTGTGTAGGGAGGACTTCATAATTTGTTTCTCATGTGCAGTGAATTGATAGACTATTTTAATGATGCAAACTGGCTTTGTGGGTAGCTTTAGATTTCCAAATACTGTTTTGCTTGATACACGTTCTTTAACTGTTTAAATGTGCAATGACAAACTACTTATGTCTCTAAATTACTTCAGCTCTCAAACCCCTCTGACACACAAGGTAAGTCATGCAGAAGCAATAGTACCATTTGTGAAGGTCTGTTTCCTAAGAAAACATTGTTCAATTCAGAAGGAAGCTCTGGGCTATGGGGATTCCAGAAGTTGTTTCCCAGTTATACCAGACTGTTTTACAATTATACTTGCATTGAGCTGTATTGAGGCAGACTTTACCTTATATTATGGCAGCACTGCTTTTCTAGTAACAGCTGCCATGTTTTTACATGAAGATGCCTGAATTTTGGATTTCATGTGAAAGGAGCAGCCTGCACTGGTCAAGGTAAAAATCTGACCATGTCTGGTAGGAGCTGTAGGTGGTTATCCTCTGATGAGCAGCTGGGCTGGGAGAGGGGAGATGTGCTTACGTATTTTTTATAGGAAAAGGACAAGTTCACCTTCACTTTTTCTGAATGACTTTGTGCAAAGTGCCTGATTAATAGCTTCAGAATGAAATTCCTTATCCACAAAACTGATGAAGCATGAGTTTTCTGCAGTGTAATGGCTTAAGGTCTAACCACTTCCAAGAAAACCTAATAAAAGAGTTTTAAGTTACTGGGGTCTACGTGACTCTTATGGAGAAACAGCCCCTCTAAGTGACCCCAGGCTGAATCTGCATATGCCCAGCTGCCTGCCACTGGGTGAGGGAAGCTTTAATTAATTGATGAGTAGCACTGAGGTTTTTAGAGTACCTTGTATACGAAATAAAATTGTTAAATAGCTAAATATGCACAATTAAGAATCAATGTAAGGTTAGTTGTGTGAATAGACACAACTAGAATTAAAAAGTGTTTAACTGAAGGATGAAAGCTGTACCTTCAGTCTTTTGGAGAATATATAATATTTCCATCTCTGGTGTTCTGTGTTGCATTTCATTGTGCAGAGTGCACAAAGCAGAAGGCTGTCTGTGCTCTGCTGTCTGTGGGGATTGCTCACACCCTGCAGTGAAATCCACCCCTCTGAGGCTGTTCCAGTGAGCACTGGCTGAGTGCTGCACATCACCCCAGTCAACTGCTTGTTATAAGGAATATTGCACAGTAACTCAAGCAGCAGCTTTTTGTGGTGATTATACAGAATCTAGTTATTCTGTGTATGATTTGGACAAAAGAAAGGAGGGTTAGCTCCATTTTATGAGAGTGACAAATAATCTTTAATGATCTTCACAACCAGACATCAGTTTTCCATGTTGTTTGTTTGTCAAAGTGGAATCTGCCAAAGGGATTTGTTAGGGAAGTGTATAGTCAGGGCTTTGTAAAGAGTCTCTCACAACTTCTTGTTGAATATACAATGCCACACTTACTCCCTTCTTAGAACAGAAAATTAAGCCTTTTTTTTTCCCTTTTAATTTTAGACATGGAAAAGTACTATATATGTGGGCAATGTGCCAGGAGTGTAACAGTGTTCTGAAGTTCTCAAAAGACAAAATCAAGGTCTTATGAAAATATTGATTCTAATTAATGAATCCTGGAACTCTTATTTTCATTTTAATTTTTTTTTTTAAAATAGCAGCTTTAAACTTGTTCCATAACAATAACTCCTTGTCCTAGACAGCCCAGTTAGCCACTTGCTGGTGAGTTCAGCCTGTTCAGTGTGAATTTCAAATACTGGAATGGAACATATGAATTCTGGTGCACTTGCTGACTTTTTCTGTGAGTGTCTATGCCATTGTGTCTTTTCTTCTTAAAGAGAAACACCAGATCTGCAAATGAGGTCAGGGATGTGCTGTAATTGCCAAAAAGTGCATGCATAGGCTTCTTGATTTTGCGATAAGTGTGGATATTTTTTAATAAAAATTACCTTAAACCTTAAAAATGACCTTTTCATGGGAGAGGTTGATTACTTGAACAATCTAAACAAATCATGAATGGTTTGTTCAGATATTAGTTAGAAATGGCTGAGATTATTCTTTATGAGGAAGCTTTCTCAGAGGAGGGGTTTCTGGGAAACATTGTCCTCACAATGAGAGATTCTAAGTGTTGTTGAAATGTCTCCCATTAATATTAGTGAGAGTCTTTTACTCAGGTGGTGACCAAGGTGTTTGGCAGTGCCTGCCAAACCTCCAGGCTCTGCAGAGGTTTGTAGCCATCTGTGTTCCTGCAGGAGGCTGTGAGCAGCTCCTGCCATAGGGACAGTCCCCTTTAACCCACACAGGCTCTGGTGAATGGGGACAAAAGTGCTTTTTGTGCTTAATGTGCTTGAATGATGGGTAAATGTAACTTCTGCTCTTTGCAGCTTCCCCAGGCTTCCACTGTAGCTGCAAATTAGAGTTTGTTGCTGAGTGTGCAGCCAGTGACATGAATTAGGGTGTTCCAACTCGAGAACTTTGGGAAGATAGCAGCTTTGTACATGTGTTACTGCAGATTCTGAAGGGTCAGATAAAGTGCTCTTTCAGACTAAGAACCCTCTGGACAAAAGGTCATTAGTTACACAGTGGAAACCTTGGCATTAGTCTGGAAAATGTAACATTTAATGAAACTTTGGCCACAGATCTTTTATCAGGATAATAAAATCTCCTTAAACTCTCTGCAGGTTTTAACAATGTTCTTGACTGTCTCGGGCCTTGAGTGATGGGAGCCACGTGGCTGATCACTGCTGTTGGGTTTTGGAAAGGAAACTCTGGTTGTACTAGAGACAGAAGAGTGGTCTGTTGATGTGTATTTGTGTTTGCTTCTCTGACTTTAGAGGTAAATCATGTACATTGGTTATTGCAGTATTTCAGGCCATGGAAGTCTTGGCAGTCTTTGCCTTTTGATCAGTTTTCCAGAATAAGCACAGTCCAATAAGTCACTGGTGAGTAGCACCCATCACGTGTCTTCTACATGCTCAAGTGTCTAGTCAATAATGTTTTTTACAAGCCTGAGAAATCTTACTGCTCTTCATGTATGAACAATTGTTTAAACTACCTGGTTTCCAAGTCAGCCTTCTGCTGCTGTTCACAGTGGGAGCTGAAGTTGGGCAGGAGGGAGATACAGACGTGCCCATGTGGGGTATGGGCTGTGATAGGCTGACACAGAGATGCAGTATTACCACCACAAAACATAACTTACTACTAATAAAGAATATTATTTTATATATATATGTATGTATATACACTTTTATTAAAACATTAGACATGTGATACTTACTAAACACAAGGCTGTATCCTGCCTTGGTTTAAACTGGCATGGCTCCATGGGCTTCAGAGCAGCTCTCTCAAATCTGATCATCTGGGGAGCTGAACAAGGTTTGCATTCAAAGATTGTTTCCCATCAGTATGTGGTGACAACTTCCATTCCTGTTAATGTTGCATAACCAAAATAAAGTACAGCATTCAATAAACCCCTGTTGCCAGCAAAAGCACTGTAACAATACTTGGACTTCAGAGATTCTGTAGTGCCCTACAGGGATTTGAGAGGGGTCTTCTAAGTCAGAAAAAGGCATTATCTTCCTTCTTACAGGTAGGAAAGCTGTGGGAATTGCTAAATCTCACATGGTACAAATAACAGAAATCAGCCCTTTACATGCTGCTGGTGCAGGGTTTTATTTGTCAGATATATTGACTCTGATGTGCCTGTGAGAAGTAACACGGGTTGATCTGAGAAGTCTTCACACTCACAGAATCATCCAATAATTAAAAAGTTACTACATTTGACTATAACTGTGATTCTTTTAGGTTCCTGGTGGTGGGTTTGTTGGGATGTTCTTATATAAAAAAGTGAGCCAAATTAATAATTTTTTTTCCTTCACTTTGCAAATATTGTTATAGCTGTTCAAGGTAAATTAGCTTATGGAAAAAAACTACAGAATATTTTGATAGTTACAGTTTGGATCATTTATATATCAGCTTATGTTCCAGAGAAATAACACCTGCTTGAAAACAAGCAACCACATTTGATGTTTTTTTCTTTTTCAGGCAAGTATTTTTAAGCCATAATTAAGTACCAATATTCTTCAGTCTTTTTGTTAATCTGAGGTACCTGTGACTTCTGCCAAAACAGAAGTTTTGACATTTAGTGAATTGAGGGTTATTTTCAAATAAAAGGTGAACTCTAAAGCACACCAGAACACATGGTGAGAATTTAAAAAAAAATACAAGAAGACTAGGTCAAATTGCTTTTCTAAGAAAATACCATCAAGTTAACCTTTCTGAGTCAGCCTAGGCAACAATAGCACTTCTGTCTGTATTTCATTACTTTTATTTAAGATTCTCTGCTCCACACTGATGTAGTACAGTGTGATGTAGTACAGCTAGAATATAGAGACTGTTTCCAGTGCTTTGATAGTAAGAACATTGGGTGCATTAATATTGTATATAATGGTTGCTTTAATATTGTATGTATGTTTAAACATATCCAGAAAAGATGCAAAAATGGGTTCTGAGCTTCCCTGAATTTTCACC